CGGTGGGGTGGCCGGTGATGGGCAAGAGGGAGTAGAAAGGTTGCAAAGGAGACACAGAGAGAGGGGAAGAAGAAGAGAGACGTTGGGGATTATGTGTCAGACAATTGAGTTGGGCATTGTGCAAAAGGTTTAGGCAGGATAAATTGTCTAAGATGCATTGTGAGCCTTTGGATTAAATTGGAATAATGGAGATGAAATTTTGGCCATAAAATTAAAAGTAGATTAAATCTGAACCCTTATTGTGCTTTCCCAACTTTAGAGTTTTTTTTTGGATCAAACTTTAAAGATTCAAGTGGTTCTATCTTATTATTATCGATGGGCATTTGCCAGAGAAGCAGCTTCAATAATCTCTGCTTCGGTTGCATTCTCCTTCGCATATGCAATGATTTCATGGATTGTTCCAGCAAAAATTGTGGGCTTCTGACTAACCCATGCAATATGTGACCTTAGAGCTCTTAGATTGTATTTTTTGATGTCAATCCCATTGCTTCCACTGACCCCTTTGATGGGTCGTAAAATCTCTCAATCAGTCTGATGATTGTTGATTTTCCAGAACCACTTGTGCCCGCATCAATCTTTAAGCTTAGACCCATAAGGACCATCTGTTTTGGTCTAGTTGGATAAAAGAAATTGACCTCTTTAAGCTCCACATATCCATTTATCTTCACTGGATTGATCCCATCCGGTTTATCTGGGTCCATCTTGCTATTTCTTTTCAAAATTGTGAAGACTGATAGTAATGCATTGGTCCCCTTCGATAAATCCGTAGTCATGCTTCCAGTCTATGCTATAATTCTTCCCTATTAATACCAAGATGAAGAATGTCTGAAAGAGTTGCTTGAATGTGATATTGCCACGGTGGAAAAGCCTTCCTCCATACCAGAAAAGTAATCGTGCATTGACAGCAGTGAGGAAATGTGAGCTAAATAGTCCAAGCCCTGCATACCAAGATTGTTTATGGCTCTCTTTTTTGGGGCCAATTTGAGCATCCTCAAATAGTGCCATAATCTTATCCTGAGAATAAAATGCAGTGATGATTCGCTACTCTTGTACTGTGCTTTTAAGATTTTCTTAGACATGATCCTCATCATTACTGCTCTCACATAGAATGATCCAATGATGAGCGGTTGCATAGCAATAGCAACAAGAGCGAGTTTCCAAGCCAACACTATACCCAAAATAACTGCTAAAGTTCCTCCTGTTATGGCCTGTACCAAGAAGGCCAAACGATTCGCAACAAGAGTTCTTATCATGGTCGCGTCTATAGATAATCTAGAACAGAGGTTGCCACTGATACTGTTTTCCTGATCAAACAACTCAATCTCAAATGTCAAGATCTTGACAAATATTGCTTCTATGACTTTTTTGGTCAAATTCTCTCCCATTACTCCGAAATTGTAATGTTGAATCACATTGGTGATGAAAGTGGAGATGGAAAAGGCTAAGAAAGCAAAGCAATATATTTTTGTTTGCGATTTAATTTTGTTATGATCACCGATAAAATAGACAGATGGAAGTGTGCCCATGCAAAAATAGTGCCATAGTTGAATTTGTTAGAGTAGTTAGCATATTTAGACCTAGGGGTAGTTTAGTAATTTGTTTTCTTTTATTTTGCCCTAACTTGGTCTGTTTGTTTTCCTTTTGTCCTACTATATAAAGATCTCTTATATGTAGTTTTTCTTTAATGTTGTTTCCTCAATAATATTCTTTTCTTCATTCTCTTACTTTTCTATGATTGATCAAAGTTAACATGATATTAGAGCCAACATGATTCTAAGGGATGTGAACAGTACCGAAAATACTGTTCATTCGGTGAACAGTGCTGAAATTCTTGTTCACGTGCTGTAAACAGTGCTGAAGTTACTATTCACGTGTTGTGAACAGTGCCAAATTTTAATTTTTAGTGCCATTTTTGCTGTACTCTTGTGTAAGAAACCTACATTTGTTATGAGTATTTGATTTTCAAAGTTGTTGAGTTGATTTGTGGCGAACTTTGGATTGTTTGGTGTTGACTGCTTCTTTTGGTTCTAGTTTTTGTTCTTGGCTTCTGCTGGTTGGTTTCTGTTCTAGGGAGGTCTCTTTTGGATTTGCTGGTACCTTCTTCTTTCTGTTTTGTGATTGGATTTATGCTCCCTGATGTATCGGCTGGCTGTTTCCGTGCCTTCATTGCTAGTTTTGGTTGTTGGGTTTGCTGCCGCTTCTCTTCTATTGGTGCTTCTTGTGGCTGGATCTTTCTCGCTGAACTAGTTGTTGCTGGTGGTTTTTGTTAGACAACCCCAATCCTTTGGGTTTATTGATTTGGGCTTCTTTCCGTTGGGCCGCTGGTTTGATTTTTTCTCTTATTTGTTGGGCTTTGTTCTGTTGGGTATTGTTGCTAGTGATTTTTGTTGAGCTTTGGTTTTCTGTTGGACTCGTCTTGATATTTGGGCCTTAATTTATTGAGCCTAACACTTGGAGTTTTTGTTGAGTTTATTATTTCCTTCCTCTAAGGCTCTAGAACTTCGTGTTTACTTTGATACGGACTGGGCTGGTGATTCTATGGATCGAACTACTGGTTTTTGTCTCTTCCTTGGTGATTCTCTTATTTTGTGAAAAAGTAAGAAACAAAGTGGCTCGATCATCTGCTGAAGCTGAGTATAATGCTATGGCCATCACAACAGCAGAGGTAGTTTGGTTGCATTGACTACTTGTTGATCGTTTTTTTACGAAATCTCACACCTTCGCGCGTTTCCGATTTTCTTCTTAGCAAACAATTGATGTCTGATGTTACCACATCATGAGTTTGAGAGAGGGTGTTAGAGTAGTTAGCATATTTAGACTTAGGGTAGTTTAGTCATTTGTTTTCTTTTATGTTGCCTTAACTTAGTTTGTTTGTTTTTCTTTTGCCATACTATATAAAGATCTCTTATATGTAGTTTTCCTTTAATGTTGTTCTGGTTTATTGTGCCCCAATAATAAGATTCTCTTTTTCTTTCTCTTATTATTCTATGATTGATCAAAGTTAACAGAATTAATCCATAGCAAATAGCACCAATGCAACCTAACAGAGTTGATTTCCATTCTGATGCAGTCATTTGTATCAGGTACCAGAGGATGGAGGGCTCTGTATTGGGGCTAATTATTTTCTCATGACTGGACGGAGAGGGAATTGGGCTGTTTGTTGTTTCTGATATTTGCGCATCTCTGTTTGGGAAAGGAGAGTTATTATTTTCGGTTCTTTTTGATGTTGTCTCTATTTTGTCATTCATGTGTGTCTTCTGTAGCTGCACCATAGCTGAATATGGGCCATGCCTGTTCTGAACAAGTTGCTCATGAGAACCAGACTCTACTACTTGCCCTGACTGAACAATGACTATCAAATCAGCTCTGCGTATTGTAGAGAGACGATGTGCAATTATAATGGTGGTATGTCCTAACAAGGCCTGATTCAAAATGTGAGTCCATTGAACTTGTGGCTTCGTCAAGCAGCAAAATTCTCAGGTCTCTAAGAAATGCTCTCACAATGGAAATCCTATGTTTCTGTCCTCCAGACATCTGAGTTCCCAACTGCTCTACCTGGAAAAACGCAAGACAAAAGCTTTGGTATCTTTTTCATCTTAGTTAGTAGGAGAGCTGCATGGAAAATGTGCTAGCTATAAGTTTACAACTACCGTTGTGTAGATAATAAATCATGCAAATCCTGTGGTGATATATCTTGCTGCATAATATTCTATAAAAACATCTTGCAACTACCGTTTTGTAGGTAATAAATCATGCAAATCCTGCGGTGATATATCTTGCTACATAATATTCTATAAAACATCAGTTAGTTCAAGTACTTACAAGGGTATCATATCCATTTGGTAGCTGTGAAATGCTGCTTTAGCTGATTGAACAATCTCCTCCTTTGAAGCTTCATCTTTTCCAAATAGGATGTTCTCTTTGATTGAGGTTGCGAAAAGGATAGGCTCTTGGGTAACTAGACACATTTGACTCCGCAACCACTTAAGCTGAAGACCCTTTACGCTAGTTCAATCCTGTAGAATCTCTGCCCCAAAGGGATGTTAGAACTTTCAAGCAAATTGATTACTGTTGACTTGCCTGACCCACTATCAGCTACCAATCCAACCATTTGACATGCCATCACCTTAAGATTGAACTTTCTCAATACCAAGGTCTCTGGTCTTGATGGATATGCAAAATCAATGTCTTTGAGCTCCAATTCACCTTTGACATCGGATATGGTGTTGCCTTGTTGATCTGCTGAGTCTATGCTTGGGATACGCCCAATCATTTCGAAAATTGGAGCTGCTGCAACATTCGCCTCAGTGAAGTACTTTACATTTATTAGAGCACCCCCAAGTGCATTGCAGAATGATAAGAGTAGATATCATCAGCAAGGGTTTGTTTGGATTCTGTGGAGTTAAGTTAGGTGAGAAACACTTCCCATCACCAGCAATAGTTTAGAATTCAATCTGAAGATTGGCTTGTGATTGTCGAAAAGATTATAAGACCAATATTCAAATCAACTATATCTCGTACATGAATATCCTAGAGCATTGATCAACGATCTCTTGTAAACAAATTTTCAAAATACATGAAGCTGTAATAGGATTGATGTTTCAAAATATGTGCCAACCGTCCCTCATCACAAATTAAGGTAGCATGTTGCTAATGGTAAAAAATGATGGTGATGATTCCAAAAGAAATTAGAAACGAAAGCATATCCCACAAATGGACTTCCATAAATATTTAGAATTTCAATTCGAGTTGCATGATATATTAGGCTTGATAGTCTTAAATCCTTCTTGGCAGGTATAAGCAGTTTGAATAAAAATATGATCATGATAGTTATTATCACATATCGGAAAGTCTGAGGAAGAGAATTTTGAGCTTACAGTCTTCTGTTGACAATGCGCACTCCAGCAGTGACAGCATCCCCACATTTGACTCCCTTTTCAGTGACCAAGATGCTCCCATACCAGCCCTAAAGTGCCCAGACCGCATAAGTAACTCCAATACTACCAATAGCCATTCTCTTCAACAGTCTTTGCTTTGTTCCATGCTTTAGAGTTGGTCTTAATGCAGCTGAAAAGTTCTTCACAGTCCGCTCCTCCCCCAACATAGGAATAAACAGTCCTGATTGAAGATAATGCCTGCTCTGCTATCCCACCAATGACTGCATAGGCTTCTTGTATCTTTTTTCCTACCACTGCTAAAAGCTTCCCGTATACTAGGCCTGGAATAATGACCATCAACAATGCAAAGATGGCAATGACAGCCAGTCTCCAACACAGGTACAAAGCTGTCATTTGAGTTGTGATGAAGATTGCTAGATTTGTAATGAAGTTTGGAATCTGTATCATTGCTAGACAGTCGAGAAGGTTGAATATTAAGTACCAATTAAAATATCATTCTATTTCAAAATTATCAGTTGAAAAACCTTCTCACTAAGAACCCCTTGTATGCCTAATGTGTCAGTTGAAATAGCTGAGACCACTTGGGATGTCATGGATGCTCCGTGAATTGTATCAAAAAACTCAACTTCCTGTTGTAGAACAGCTTGCAAATATCTAGTGCGTAGTTGAGATGTTTGCCTTTCTGCAGTGTGTGCCCAACAGAATCCTTCTATTGGAGACCAATACACGAGACATTATAAGTGGATTAGGAGTCCAGAGTAAAGGATAGCATAGGTCATCAGTAATGTTTTCAATTGATATGACAGTAAACCCTCCTATATGTTTCCCAATTTCTATTAGATTACTTTCTTATTATGTTCAGATTTTGTCCTACCACTGGTTGCCTATTTTGCTGAGAAAAATAGTACAGTTTTTCTGAGGGTGGAACTAAGAATAAAAGCGAGTTTTCTAGAGAGCTTCGGATTAGGATTCAGTCTCACTTTTTTTTTTTTTTGGTAAAGGAGGAGTTGGCTCAAGGGTACCTAAGATGATGGGAAGCATCCGAGCTCATTAAACTTATTATGAGGCAACCCCTCTGTTGTTGGTGTTGGGACTGGCTGAGGAAATTAGAGTGGTTCCAACTGACTCCTTGATTGCAACTTTTACAATCTTTACAATTGATGGGACACCAACTATAAACTAGCTCTGTACATCTCATGTAAATTGTAAATCATTTTCATGCAAACAGTTGGTACATTTCATGTGGCAAGAGCAGAACGTTGATTTTTACTTGATGTGGCAGACCTGCAATGGGAAGGGAAACATGTCTAGTTAAGGGCCAATGGAGCCTCCCCCGACTTGAGGAAATATTTAAAGCAACGGTGATGCATGTCACCATTGATGAAATGGTATCACCAACCAATAATAAATCTTTAAATGGAAAATGTGAACTCCGTTTGGTCTTACATGGCAAAAGGGTGGGGAGTTATTTATTTGTTTTAGTATTATTAGTTGGTGATACTACACTACCTTGTCACGTGGTATCACCGTTGTAATGAATATCCTCCTTTTCCTTGCACAGGGGATGTGGTAGGGGCCTTTTGGAGGGAGGGGGGGGGGGGGGGGGGAGGGTTGTCTGCTTAACTGGATTATTTTCTGGTATAACCTTAGACCCATATGCTGAGGGCTATTTGTATGATTTACTTATTCAGATACTAAACAATTTTCAGTTCAAAGATGTATAGGAGAAAAATCGAAGTACCTAGAAATGCTCCTGAACGGCCAACAGCTTGGGTACGTACGTAAGAGTTTAAGATGAAAATCCTGTTCTAAGTTCAGTCTAATAAATAGCAGTCTGAAAGTTTTAGTAAACAGATTAATAAACCCTGTGAAAGTCCATCGAAACAAATGATCATCTAGCACACGAGTAACTGTCTCGTGCAGAAACATAAAAGAATCTGCAAATATACAAAAATCAACTTACCAACTTATCATAAATTCGGTTTCTTCATATTTTCTTCCTGCTTTGTTCTTGTTGGTGTGGTTTACCAATAAGTATTGAATTAACAGATATCAATTGGATTGAAACAAGGGCTTTAATTGATTCTAAAATATCCGTTGTGTTTTTGGTTCTATACTTAAGTTGGATGGACTCAACAACGTACATGGAATAAATAGAGACAAAGAGACAAAAGTCAGCTGTCATGTCATTTGAGTTCTTAATTTGGTCTCAAAATTTGGTCAGTGTAGTATTACTGTCATGGATAATTGAAGACAAAGAATCAACAGGTCTTATTTCTTTCCCAAATAAAAATATGGGGACCAAGGCCGTCGAATTCCCAAAAAAAAAAAAAAACAAGTGCCCCCACTCAAACCCACCCAAACCAAAACGAAAAACGGAAGAATGTAGGGGTTGTTTGGTAACTTTTTTTTTTTTTTTTTGTGTTTTTGTTTTCAATTTTTGTCAAAAATGAAAACAAAAATATTTTTGGGTATTGTTTTTATTTTTGTTTTACATTAGTAGTTTGAAAACAAAGACAAAAAAATGGGAACAAAAAAATAATGTTTTAGGAAACACCAAAAGCAAAGACAACACGCGTTAAAGGCTTAGGAATTAATGAGATACAGACTTCAACTCCTCTTAACAGCAAAACTTTTTTGTTGAAGTATAAAAATTCATTTCATCCCTCTCTCCTCTCTCCCTCTTCTATGTGAAACCCAAAAACTGTGCATATATATCCATAGATTCGTGCATAGAAGGTGAAGAAGAGGATGAGGTGATTGTCTTCAAGCCACGACCTCCACTGTGAGGAAGAAGACCAGGTTGCCACCGGGAAGCAAAGCAATGAGCCAATCTTTGATTCCCATCACCAAAAGGTTAAAAATGCTGCTTAATCTGTTTTAGCAGTTCATTTATAATCTTACGATCATTGGCTGCAACAGTCTGTGCACAATGAATAAGCATGGTTCTCAAATCTACTACTTCCTTTTTCCCATTTTGCCTTTTACCATGGCCTTAATACACAGATCTGTGCGTGTGTGTGTGTGCGTGCGCGTGTTGTGTTGATTTGGAATTTATCGGTCAAATAGATACCAAATATATTTAAGATAAAATTTGAATTCGTTACCAAACATATTTTTTGTTTTAATTCTCATAATTTGATAGACAAAAACGACTCTCAAACATATTTTTTGTTTTGGTGTTTATCACAAAACAAAGACAAAAATTATCTTTGTTTTTAATTTTTTTCGAGACGCGAAAACAAAAACGTTACCAAATGACCCCGTAATTTTTAGCTGTAAATTAGTTTACCATTGTCAAGTTTAGGATAGTTGTTAGAGAGAAAGAAAGAGGACTAGAATTGTGAGAGCGGTAATCAAATTCTTAATCTTAATGCTCCGTTTGGTATGATGAAAAAATGGAAGGATGGAAAGTTGGAGGAATAAGTAAAATATCATGTTTGGTAAGGAATGAAAATAAGAAGGATGAAAAGTGGATGAATTAACTTTACTTTTAATTCACCAAAATCAATCCCTCCAAAATTGGAAGGAAAGTGAATGAAAAATTAATTATTTGTATTAAAATGTATCTTATTTGTTTATATATTATGTATGTATGAATTTCATATAAAAATAAAATGATAAAATATATATTTATATATATTAAAAAAAATTTAAAAAATAAAAATTTTAAATTAAAAAAAAATTCATCTTAACTAGGGGTGAAAATTTTCAACTCAACATGATGACACGACTCGAACTCGATACGAATTTTATGACATAAATTTGATTATAACTTGACATGAACTTGAAAATGACCTAGCACGCGAGTAATAAATATAAAAGACTCATAATTTTATGATTTAACACGAATCTGACACGACACGAGTCGATTGTCATCCTTAATATTAGATAAAAAAAAAATTAGTTATTTTTATTTTCCATTCATCTAACCAAACACAAATGAAGAAAATTGTATTATTCCTACTTTCCATCCTTAAAGGAGAAAATATATCCTTCTACTTTCCATTTTCCTATCAAACGGAGCATAACTCTCTCCCTTGATTCATATATATATATATATATATATATATAGGTATCAAAAGAATTGAAAAGGATTAGTATACCCTTCGGTGGTAAACTTATTACAAAGATAAATAATATAATATACTACTCAACAACGATGAACTCGAAGGAAAAAAGGTAATTTAAATAGCACACAGAGACGAGTGAACTACATAATTGTAAAATCCAAAGAAACTGAACCTGTAGATGTGCTGATGGCAAATCTGCTCCACAGAAGCTACAATCTACCAAGCAAGCATCTGCAGTATGACAAGATCTTAACTTCATCTATTTTGTCATTGCCAGCATTAGCACCCAAAAATACAAGAAATTGGGCATCGTAAATAAACAGGCAAATTGGATCAGCTTTAATATACCCCCCCCCCCCCCCCCTAAAAAAAAAGAGAGAATGAAGCTAAAATTCAAACAAGAGGGCTTAGAATTAATGACCTTATTCTAAAGGATTAAAACAAGAATCTACTCCAATTCAACAAGACAGGAATGGCTATTAAAAACTACACGTACAAGAAATCAAATTTCTCTATCAATTGTTATATCTGTTGAACAATCTAAAAAAATACAATAGATAAGTAAAGAGGAGGTTAGGATTTTATTGATACTGCATAATTCAATTGAATATAAAGAAGTAAATTAACTTAAATATAAAGAGACTATATATAAGCTAAACAAGACAGGAAAAGTAAAAGACTATTCTATCCTTAATAAACAAAATAATCCTACATTTCTTAACATCTCCCCTCAAACTCACGATGCAGCAGCGACAAGCATCGAGAATTTGCCAACTAGAAAACGAAAACGAAAAATAGAATGCGACTTGGTAAAGAAATCTGCAATCTGCAAAGAAGAAGAAACAAAGGGCAAAGTAATGGTGTCATGCTTGAGATGATGACGAGTAAGGTGACAATCGATTTCAATGTGCTTAGTTCGTTCATGAAAAATCGAATTGTGAGCAACTTGAATAGAACTCCGGTTGTCACAATACATAAGAGTGGGATGAGAAAGATAAATTCTCATATCTGCAAGTAACCAACGTAACTAAACAATCACTTTGGTAGTAGATGTCATAGCACGATATTCTGCTTCGGTTGAAGATTGAGAAACAATAGATTGTTTCTTGCTCTTCCAAGAAATAAGAGAATCATCCAAAAAGATACATAAATCAGTAACAGATTTGCGATCTGTGGGATCACTGCCATGATCAGCATCAGAGTATGCACACAGCTCCAAGGAAGAGGTGGATGAAAGTAAAAGACTCTGAAAGACTGTACCCTGAAGATACCTCAAAATACGAAGAACCACTGCCCAATGAACTGTAGTAGGAGAAGCAACAAACTGACTAACAACATGAACAACATATGCAATATTTGGACGAGTAATAGTGAGATATACCAAGCTCCCAACAATAGTACGGTATAAAGTAGGATCTGACAAAGGTAAACCATCAGAAGAAGAATACTCTGCGTTAACTTCAATGGAAGTATCTACAGTCTTATTATTAGTAAGTCTAGTTCGCTCAAGAATATTTGCA